AACCGTAAATCATATTTTTGATTTTGCTCGTTCTTAAGTTAGCCATTCTTAAATTGTTCATTCTTAAAGTTTCCATCATAAAATTTATTAAACGTTCCCAATGATTCGTATATGAGACACCGTGCCCAAATAACTTTTTCCCACCATATCTCTTTGAAATTTACGTATTTTCACCACAATAAAAATACTTACAGGATTTACAGCTGCACCTGAATAAAATTTAAAGGAAACGGGATGCTGGTTTAGGGTTTTAAACGATTTCGGATAAAAAATCCAATCGATTGGAAGCGCTCCAGGTCCGTTCATAGTCTAGTCAATCAGCGATAACGGATCTTAGCTTAAGGGCGGCGAACTTGTCGGCGCTGCTACACTTGGCCCGTTCGTTCCAAGGGCTCCCAAATAGGTCTCATCGCTACAGAAACCTAGAAAATTATGAAGAAGAAAAAAGTGATCTTTCTTTTTCCCCTTCTCGTCGCTTTTCGTCTCTTCCACGCTTTCCCTGATACCATAGTTTCTAACGTTTGTAATACTTGCATTCGCGGTCGATCAAGTTATGGTCTTTATCGTACTTTTTCTTGACTACCTTTTATCCCCGTTCTTGTTATGCGTTCTTTACAGCCATCTCTCTCCAACGGGCAAGTATTTAGCACCTCAACTGGCGTGTTCGAGCAGATGTTGCGGCAACTGGGAGACCACTCAGTCGAATTCCAACTTCCACACTGGCTTAAGCAGCAGAAGTCGTCAATGCCTTACACCTTCATCAAGCGCAGTATCCCTTTAGATGTATATTTCATAATGCATGAACACAATAAATGACAGCAGTGATTCACTACAGATGTCAAGCAGGCTGTTGCGTTGTATAGCAGATATTAAAAAATGGCAGCCTATTCAAGCCCGTCTGGATTTTAGATCTACCTCTCAATTGGCCTGCCCGACATACAGATCACAGAATTTGCTGTGCTGAATTCATTGCTTTGTGAAGGCGATTAATGGCCTTTCTGGTTTTAATGGAAATAAAACTTTTTGAACAATGCACAGGACATAGTTGAAATTTGAAATCAAGCATGCAAATTTGAAGCTAATATCTGTCGTTCTTCCTAAGTTATATGTATTTTTCTTTGCTTTTCTTGACTTGTTAGATATCTATCTCACCAAAAGAATCAAACGCCGTG